CTGTATGTTTGAGACTCTTATTGTGAAGGATCTATTATTTGTGCAGTAGGGCAGCAGTGATATATTTATGCCTTTATTTTGTAGTTTACTCAGATCAAGATGACCCAGAATCGTTGGCTGCAAACATAATGAAACCAGAACAGGTCCAGTCCAGTTCAGGACCCAGCAGGGTCAACTTCATCAGGATCAAACATAACAGCTTGTTTTATAAAATAAAACAAGTAAAAACAAATTAAAATAATAATAAATAATAATCTGGACCTTCAGGGGTTCCATACCTCTGGATCTCCATTAACTTTTTATTTTATTTTATTTTATTTTATTTTATTTTATTTTATTTTATTTTATTTTATTTTATTTTTATTTTTTTACAGCTTCTGTTTTGTTCAGGACTGTAACAAAAACCCTGAAGACCGGCTCCCTCTCTGTGAAGGATTACTGCTGTCATGGAGTCCGGTTCTGACCCAGAAACCAAACCCGCTGAGTGAGTGGGGTGTGGCTGTTCTGGGATCAGGGACAGATCTGAACACGAAGTCAGAACCAGGAGGCAGCAGTTCCACCTTCAGCTGCTTTCAGACAGGAAGAGGATCTGAAAGACTTGTTTCTGCCGAACCTGGTCCTGGCCCAGGTCCTGGCCCAGGTCCTGGCCCAGGTCCTGGTCTGTGTCTGAGTAGGTAAGAAGCAGAGTTCTGTTCGTGATTCAGCTGCTGACATGTTTGAACTTTTCTGAGATAAAAAACACTTTAAATCAGATCATTTACAGGATTCTGCAGAAAAAAAACAAGAAGTTTTACAGAATCTCAGCTAAAACCTGCTGGTAGTAGCCGAGGGTCCTCCTTGGGTCTGACTCTCAGCTAAAACCTGCCGGTAGTAGCCGAGGGCCCTCCTCAGGTCTGACTCTCAGCTAAAACCTGCAGGTAGTAGCCGTTGTCCTTCGGCTCGGTGATAATCAGAGGGTTTTCTGTCTCTGCTGGTCCTGACGGGGGTCGAGGAGCTCTCAGCGGACACTTTGGACCTGGTTCAGGGACAGTTCCATCTCGGAGCATCTCTGATGAACTGGAGTGCGGAGGTCATGGTTGATGGTTCCACGCCAGATGTGACTTACAGTAAAGGYAGCAGGAAGTGGAGCGTGCTCACAGGAAGTTCAGACTTCCTGTTACTTCTGCCACACGTCTGCGGTGACAACATCTTACCTGCAGCAGCTGCAGAGCGTGGGAGCCACACAGGGCTTCTGTTAGGAGGATTCAGCACTGACAGATAAGATTAACAAAAAATAAAAGGTTTTATTTGTTGTTTTTATCACTGATTAAAAAAACAACCAAATAACTTTAGTTTGTTGATACTTTATTTATAAAATGTTTGAATATTTTAAATTTACAATAAGTAATCATCACAAACACCATGTTTACCAGCACCAAATTAATTATGGAGTTCCACATGGTTCTGTGTTCGGCCCACTAAGTTTTTCTTTTAGGTGATATTATATAAACAGGAAGTACTTTATTTTAGAGGTTAATTCAGATTAGACAGAAGATGAACAGCTCAGGAACATCCTCTGGACATCAGTTCTGGGTGAAACGGTTACTTCACCTGGTTTAAAATGAATCTTGTGTTAGAAGAACCGACCCGTTAGTTTAYTTGAAGGTGCAGATTATTTTAGGTTTTCATCACAGGCTTTAATTGACTCAATAAATCCTATGAACCTGATATGTTATTTAAGTTAAACAGAACATGGGTCCATATTTTCTTGGCTGTCAGACTTCAGGTTTCTGTTCTGAGACTCTGTAACAGAACCAGCTCTGTTCTGTTTGCTGTTGTTCCTTTTATTTGCTTTTCTTTCTGATTGGATCTTTTCATGTTGGCTTAAATCCAGTAAATTAGATGTTTTAAAGTGAAAACAGGATTATTTGGCTGCAGATGAGTGACTCTGAACAGCAGGATTAAACTCAGAGCTTTTTTATGCTGAATGGAGGAGAAGGAATGGATATCTAACAGTCTGCAGATTAAATTTAAGATTATCACTAATTTAATTTATGTAATGTGGATCTAAGCATTGAAGTCATAAAAGTAACTTTATTTCATTTAGTTTAATTGCAGTTTTAAACATATTTAGTGTTTTTCTTCACTTGTTTTCTCTTTATCATCTCTCCTGTAGCTCAGATCACAATTATTGGCAAACAAATTAGGTGATGATGTCATCTAGTGACTTAAGTTTGACTGTTTGGTTAAAGCAGATGTTTATTCTCTCTTTGTTTTATGCACTTTATTTTTTCATGTTTTTATATCTATAAATTTTTTCTATTTATTTATAGACTGTGCTGTGAAGTTCACACAGTGTTTAGGGAGTTCACTTTAACATGTTTAATGTAATGTTTAATTAAACAAGAACAATTAGAAATGGTGAAAACGTGAAGCCACAAAATTGTTTGCTTTATTGTAATCTGTGCTTTAAATTAATCTTACATTGTTTATCATAAAACAGATTGATTTATTGCTTCTGTTTGTTGAAAAATACTTGAGAAGACATTAAAAAATAACCACATATTAAATAGCAATTTATAGATAAAAATTACAATTAGATTATTTTCCAGAACCGTTCAGACCTACTTTAAAGCTGTGGTTTTCAGTTGTTTGTTGGACCACAGACAGCAGGTTCTGACAGCTTRATCTAATCTTGTAGTTTTATTGCATAAATCCATCTAAAGTCAGATTATTTGAACTGACACCCCTCCAGCTTTGAGCTGCTGTCTGCTGGAATGAACTGAAAACTCTTCAATCAGGTGAACTAAAGTTTAAATCATTTGATCTTTTTATTTTATAATAAAATCATGTAGAAATAATAAATATGATCAAATCAAAGCCTCCATCATGTCTAAATTATCATTATTTGACATAATCTTTAAAGAGTAACTTACCCCAAAATTAACTTTTTTTAGCTGATAAACTGTCTAGAATG